TTGGGGAAGGGTCCCTGCATGTTGGGATTGCTACAGCATGGGTCAGTCACAGGACCCCCACGCTGGGGATGTCCCATTTCAGCAGTGGGGCAATGATGTCCCTGTCCCCACAGCCTGAGAACATCCTCTGCGTCGCTGCCACCGGGCACATGGTGAAGATCATCGACTTTGGGCTGGCTCGAAGGTGCTGTCTTCCCCCCTTTGGCTCCATCCCACTGCCACCCTCCAGCCCCACATACCCTTGGGGTGCTGTGAGCCCCAGGACCCACTCTGGGCTGTGGCTTTGGCCATGGCTGCTGGCTCCATCTCTCCCTGGCTGGTGCAGGAGGGAGGCAGCGGTTTGGGGGAGCCCCCTCCTGCTGACTTCCCCCCTCAACCCCGGCTGCAGGTACAACCCCCAGGAGAAGCTGAAGGTGAACTTTGGCACCCCCGAATTCCTCTCTCCCGAGGTGGTCAACTACGAGCAGGTCTCCTACTCCACGGACATGTGGAGCATGGGCGTCATCACATACATGCTGTACGTTGTGGGGGCACAGGGGGTCTGCCAGCGCCGGGGTGCAGAGCATGAGCCCCCCTGACCCCCATGCCATGCTGGTAGGGGGCACTGAGCAGGTGGGGCTGGGGGGCAGTGAGGTTTGCTCCCTTTTGGGGGGTTTTGGAGGTGCTGCAGCCTGAGGGCATCCCATTCTTCACCCCCCTGCGCCCCCCGGCTCAGCGGTCTCTCCCCCTTCTTGGGTGACAACGACACCGAGACCCTCAACAACGTCCTGGCCGCCAACTGGTACTTCGACGAGGAGACCTTCGAGAGCGTCTCTGAAGAGGCCAAGGACTTCGTCTCAAACCTCATCATCAAGGAGAAGAGGTGCGAGGTCCCCAGGGGTCCTGGAGTGGGTGTCCCCAGGGCTACGTGCCACCCCTGGGTACCACACACTGACACTGCACCAGGACCAGCAGCTTCCCCCAATGTCCCCATTGGTCACATCCCTCTGACTGATTCCTCCCCTGGGTTTTGGGGCTCTGGGGTGGTTAGGGAAGGGGGTGGCTGGGCAGAGGGGCTCGAGTGTGGGTGACCCTGGCTCCTCTGGTCCCCAGTG